CCCCAAAACCCCAAAACCCCAAAACCCCAACGTATAGGATAACAAAATGATCATGAAAATTAAGAAATTAAGTTTGATATTATCGAGTTGAGTAATTTTTCTATCAAAATGATTATGAATCGGAGAGAGTGCTAAATTGATCTGGAGCTTGATAATTCAAATACTCAAATGTCATTTCTTGCATCATTGTATCCCATAACTCACCTGATTAAATATAAGCTAGTAATTCTTAATACTCTGGCTAGGTATATCTGTCCTTAACAAGTAGTGGAGATAGTGTTTTGCAATGTTCAAAAACCTTTTTCAAGCCAGGATGGTAGATATAGAAATCTTTTTCAAGTTCAAATCTATGTTATAGAGCCTAGGTAGCAGCCATCAATTCAACTGCTAAGATTTGTTAGACGTTTTAAGCAATACTTATAGCTTTCTTTGCTGAAGCACTTCCCATTGATACATGATCTTCTTTATCTGCACAAGTCTCCGTTGAATCTGCAGATGCAGGATAAACTAACACTTTATTTTCAGAAACCAAAGAAGCAGCAACATTTTCCCATGTCATCATTCCAGAACATAAACCACCTTATGATACTAGAAAAGCAGGTAAACCCAAATTCTTTGTGGGATTAGTGAGTCTTTTAATTCTCTAAGAACTTAAACTTCCTATTTCATGTACATACAAGCCAAGTACATCTAGTTATTTAGCAGGATACTCTCCATGGAAATTACCGCCATTCATAATATATGGGGGTTCAGTAAATATTAAAGGGTTATCACTTCCACTATTCATTTCTATTTCAAGGCATTCTTTCGTGTTTACAATCGCCTCAAGAGTAGGACCATGAACTTAAGGTATACATTTCAGAGAATAAGGATCCTAAAGTTCTTAGCTATAAGTGACTGTTTTACCAACAGGAAGTAGTTCTCTCATAATTTGAGCTACTGCATTTTATCCTGGATGCATTCTGATCCTTTAAATACTAGTATCAAATGCAATAGGAAGACCCTTCATTGATAAAAATGTCAAAGCACTGATTGGAGCAATACTTTTTATTATGTTGATCGACTATTCTAATGCAATAGAACCTACTCCACAAAGAAATTGATTTCCGTTTATTAAAGAGAGGGCATCTTTTTCCTACAAATTTGCAATTTAAAGATTGTATTCTCTGAGAACAGACACTGCAGTCTCATACTCATTTGTCCTAGGATTCCATATTTCACCCTCTCCAATAAGGTTCAGTCCGATATGAGCTAGAGGAACAAGATCTCCAGAAGCTCCTACTGTACCACTGCTAGGAATCTGAGGTACTGCACCACTATTAAAAAAATCAATCAAGCGTTCCATAGTGCCTAATGAGATCCCACTGAATCCTTTAGCCAATGTGTTTATTCTAAGAACATGAATCCTTCTTGATGCCTCTAATTCTAAGTTTTCTCCGATCCCTGTTGCATGAGATCTTATGAGGTTAATTTGAAATTCCTTCAAATCACTTCCAGTTAATTTTTGGTTGGAAAATAATCCTACTCCACTATTGATTCCATAGTATGGTTTATCGGTCTTTTCATTGGCTAATCTTTCTACAACCTGTCTACTTGCTCTCAATTTTTCCCAAGTTTAATCTTCCAGGTGAACTTTAGACGAGCCCCTCCCTAAAAGCGATAACTTTTCAATAGTAAGATCATGCCCATTGAGAGCTATAGTTGATTATCTTTATAGTTTTATTGGTTGCCTCAGTAGTTTGCTTACTTTAGATAGCATATTTTTCGCTTTAATAATTTTAATAAGATTTATCTGAAATCTTGATTGGATCTATTTGATACTCAAGGGGTTTTGGGGTTTTGGGGTTTTGGGG